CCAGAGCTTCGGATTCACCTCGGTCCAGAGTAAGGCTTCCCCCCTTGCACAGCAATCTGAATTCCATACTGAGGGTCACACCTTTTCTTTGAACTCCCAGCTTATGTCGCTATGTGTTTCCACCTTGATGCTATTTAGACAGTTTTCTTTTAACGCGCAGACAGTGAACTGTTCTCCTTTAAACAGGCTTTTATTTGACAAGAGTATGTTCGCTCAGATCTGAAGCTCCACTAACCGTGCTACAATTCTACCACATTCTGCTATAATCAACCCTGTTGTAAATTTGAGCAACGCTATATACACAGACATTGGAAAGAAAAAACTGCACAGAAAGAGTTTAGGGTCATATAGCTCAGAACATTAAAAAGCAAAACTGCTCTCTGCCTAACATCTAAGGAAAGAGAGCTTTGAATTCCAGCTCGCGAGCACAATTACTTTCTGTTTTAAGCATTTAACTGCGCGCTGCCGCATCCTTGCTGAGTCTTAGAATGAAAAAGCTAGAAAACTAAGAGCCCTACTGTATGTTCTTCCTTCCCAGCAACGGTCCTATGAGAAAACCTTATTAATGAGCTTGCAAACGAGCACCCAACAGGGAAATGCCACAAACAAGAGCAGCTAATGCCCCGGAAAATCAAATAACCGAACACTTGGCTGATTGTGGTGCCTTTCATATTTTTAATAAAAAGAAGGGAGGGGCGACTTTAATTCACTAATTCTGAGAGGTCAACACCTTGCTGAACAAAACAACTCACTTATTTATGTTCAGAAATCTCCAGATGATAAATTACATTGACGTTAATCACTTCGATGCATACTACACAATTAATATCTGTACTCACCAAAAACTTAAGGATTATTTAAAGCATGACAGCATACACATCTGGCTGATTTTTCACATAATTGGGCACCACAATTTCTCCTGGTACCATATACAAGTGTCTTAACAAACAAACGCTGCAAAATTCTGTGTTCAATAAATTAGGGCTTAAATCCACACGACAAAAGGGATTCCAAGTTGGAGCTCAAGCCTTGTCTTCTAGACAATATGGTGGCTCTCCGTGTCAAGGGGAGTGTGCAACCCTTCCCCTCATTTTATCCCTCCTCCTTGCTCCTGTCACTTTTAAAGTAAGATATTTAGTGGCATACAAGGTAGGTTTTCATTTCCTTTTTAAAAAATAGTATTTTCTAAAAGGACATAATTTATACAGCATTCAAATCCATTATCTGTCATTTTACTCTGTTCTTATCCTGATTAATATCCATCCATCTTAGATGAGGTAGAGAGAGGTTTCCAAAAATCTTCATGTAGCAAAATGGGCCAACGTTGAACTGAGTATACTTAACACCAATCCTATCAGGTTAGATTTGCCTCGAAGGTAGTCTCATTTCCCCAGAGTAGAGTAATTCTTAATCTGAGGTCCATGGACCAGCTCAGGATGTCCTGGTGATAAACTGATGTTTATCACTGATAGTATAAGAAATCTTTTTAGGTGGCAAAGGAAAGGACATTAAAAAATAATAGTTGTATATTTATTTTAAAGTTTACTAGATAGAATATACATAGCAAATAAAACTCATAATTTTACAGGTGTTTTTACACAGGTCTTGGTTAGGTTAAAGCAATAAAATGACTTAAAAATTCTAAATATGATACGAACACGGATGACCCGTGGATTTGGTAAAACTTGTGAAAGTGGCCCTTGAATACCTAAAATTAGGAAAACTGTAAATACACCCCTTATACTGGAAGTAAAATGTGGTGAATGTCATCATTTCCAGCTCTATAGCTGTCAAAGGATTTTAAAGGGGTCAACGATCCCCAAAAGTTTAAGAACTGCTGAGGCCAGAGTTTGGGCCAATTAAAAAATAATGGTCTAATGTTACTCCTCAAAGAGTATCCAAAATAATTCACCATCCATGCACACTGGCTACTGAATCTCAGGCATTCAAGTACCTCTTCTTTTTTCGTGGCCATCAAGAATGTCTCTATGTGTATAACTGAGTCACTCTGCTGGACAGCAGAGACTGGCACAACACTGTAAATCAACTATACTTCAAAAAAAAAAAAAAAAGAGAGAGACATGGTGTGGCTTGTCTGCAGAGAGGGGCCTCCTATGGGGGGAATGGAGCTGAACCCCTTACACCACTGGCCAAGGTCTGAGAAAGTTCTAGTGCCCAAAGACTGAGTGCCTTGAGCATCTGAGGCATGAGGCTTTTTGTTCTCCATAGCTGCTGGTGTTCAAGAAGAGTAAAGCTGGTAGGTGATGAAGTAGAGAATTCCAATGTGTCTGAAGATGCTACGTAAGGAATTCCTGGCTGACTCCGCAAAATTTTCAGTAGTGCTCTAGAGAGGGAGGGTAGTGACCTGTCAGGTGACCTTCTTGAGCATGAAGCATCGTATTAAGATGCCAGATCAGACTCTAAACTCCATTCAGATTAACACATTGCTTTGTAATCCTTAACCTTCTTTTATGCACAAAGACATTTTTCCTATATACATTCCAAGAAATGGAATATCAAAGGATAAAATGTTTGTGTGGCTTACGCTGGGTAAAAGAACAGAGTCTTCCATAAAAAGGTGTCATGTTAAAGCTAAAAATGACCCAGGGATGTGTCTTCAATTTGGGGAAGGCATTAAAGTCACTTTCCTGCAGTTAAGGCCAAGCAGTACTTTGTAAGATTGAAGTCAAATGGATTCAGATATGCAGCTTTATTCCTTTTCTTAGAAGGACAAATCTCACTTGAATCTTCAAAAGAAAAGGCTTTATAAAGATCACTGGCAAGTCTTCCAAGGGGTAGGAGGTGTAGTGCTTGAAATATTTTGCATTTGGGAATGAGTGTAATTTTGTAGGTGGGTGGGGCTATATTCTATTTAGAAGATACTCTGGGAAACTAAGAGTTTAGGGGTGGAAACTGGGTGAACAGCTACTCAGGTCTCACAAAGGAGCTAATGTATTATTAAAGCTAATGGGCCCCTACAAGGAAAGTTAATGGATATTAAGTTTGCTTAAATGAATTACATATTAACAAAGTCACAAGAAATCTACTATCTGCCAATTTAGATAATATCTGATCTTTTCTGTTTTCCCATTATAGGGACATTACACCACAACAGTTTCAGTGATATGAAAATTATAAGCATGATGCCCATAATGAAGCTACATAATGAAGTAGATGAAATGAATTAACAAGAAAAACTGGCATTATGTAATGTTAAATTGAGCCAAGCTCACAAAGTGGAATGGGATGGCTTTGTAGAAGCAACTTTTTATAACTTTCTCCATCCCCTGTTTTGCTCAGGCAACCTAAGCAGGTGATACAAATCATAGGGGGATTCATGGTGCCCACCCCTGCCACCACCAAATACATACCTAATTCCTAACCTCTGGAACCTGTGACTGTGGCCTTATTTGGAAAAGGATTCTTTGAAGTTGTAATTAAGTTAAGGATATTGAATTGAGACCATTCTGGGTTACCCGGGTGGGCCCTAAGTCCAATGACAAGTGTCCTTATAAGAGACACACAGAGAAGAGAAGAAGGCCAGGTCAAGATGGAGACAGAGAGTGGAGTGATGTGGCCACAAGCCAAGGAACACCTGGAGCCACCAGAAGCCAGAAAAGGCAAGGAAGGATCCTCTCCCTAGAGCCTTTGGAGGGAATTTGGCCCTGCCGACACCTTGATTTCAGACTTCTGTCCCCTAGAACTGTGACAGAATAAATGTCTGTTGTTTATTAAGCCATTAAATTTGTGGTAATCTGCTATGGCAGCCCTAGAAAATTAATAGAATAATTCATAGAGAGTAATGCTTTTCCTTTATCTGATGCCCAATCATTGACATCCAATCAAACTCTTGTAACATTTTCACTAGGCACACCCAAAGGCCACCTGGAATTTTGCAGAGGCCAAGTTACAGAAGTCTTTTGATAAAAAGTGAGAAGCTGGCTACTCAGCCACAACTTTGGTGCAAGGATAATTTTGTGCAGAAAACAGATACTTTTTCCACAAGTAGGAGAGCCCAGAGGAGAAGATGAGGAGAGCATCTTTAGTCCATAGGGCACAGTGAGGAGAAACCTCACTCACCACGATCCAGCTTTTACTGATGAAGCCATCAAGACCGCGGCACTCATCCCAAAGAGTTCCACTTTTAAATTCATCGCTATAATTTAAGCTAAAATAGAAGAGAACTTGCAATCTAAAACAAGATGCTGATGTTCAGTGGGAATAAAATCCCTTCTATAAAAAAATTCAGCACTTATGATGGGGTTAATAAAGCTGGGGGCAGGGGGCGGCTGGAATTACCCTAGATTTTGAAGTTGGCATAGAAATGATTACAGTCAATATTCACAAAATTTAATTAATTAAGTCATGCACTAGAGCAGATGGAATCATTTTCAAGTTTTACATTTGGGTTAAATGTAGTATTTTCAAAATCCTCATTGGCACTCTATAATATGGCAGTGTTTCAGTAGAATAATCCTTTGATTATTTTTCTACCAAGACAACAAGATGAAAATTCTACCTAAACTATATAAAAACATATGTATTCAATAAGTGGCTTCTGAAGTGTTTTTAAAGAACTGCTACTCTATACCCTCAGGATAAAATACTTGGGTAATGCTGTGGTTTGAGTGTTTGTGTCCCCCCCACCCCGCAAAAACTTATACGTTGAAATGCTGATCCCCAATGTGATGGCGTTAGGAGGTGGGGCCTTTGGAAGGTGATTAGGTCAGGAGGTTCGTGAAACCCTCATGACTGGGATTAGTGCCCTTATAAAAGAGGCTGCAAAGAGATCTCTAGCCCCTTCCACCATGTAAGAACACCGTGAGAAGGTGCCAGCCATGGACCAGGAAGAGGGACCTCACTGGAACTTGACCATGCTGGTACCCTGACCTTGGACTTCCCAGCCTCCAGAACCGTAAGCAGTAGATTTCTGTTGTTTATAAGGCACTAGCCTGTGGTAGTTTGCACAGCAGCCAGAAAGGACTAAGACAGGTACTCACACTGTACTTCTAGATACCGCTGGGTCTGCAAGTTTCCAGTGACGGCCGGGTGCTCCACCTGACAGATCACTGGGACCCCGTCATCCTCCTTGTGCACCTTCAGCATCAGCTGACTGGTCACGGTGTACATGTCTGACCACTCCTCCACCTCCGATTTGCCTGGGGGGACATACCAAGAAACCAGAGCTGAGTGAGTCTCACTCCTTTCTTAAATATCCTCCCCTCCCTCCCTCTGCCCCAACATTACTATTTTAATAAACATAATGGAAGTCACTCCAGATAAGGGTCATCTGGGGGTAGATAACTGATAAAAGGATAATTTCCTACTTTTCAGGCTTGCAGGATAGTATTTAAGATAAAATCAACTCTACATACTATTTACTATTTTTATTTAAATATATGTTTCTTCTGTCTTAAATTTTCCCACAAAAAAGCAGCTGAAAGTTGACCCATTTTGACATTTGACTGCTCAAGGCACTAGAGAGGAAGGAAAGAGAAGTGCTTTTCCCCCCTACAACCGTCTGAACTTAACACATCTACTAGGCTGTAATGCGGTTTAAAAATTCCAGGAAGTCGTCCAAATCCCTTAAGTAATTTCAATCAGGAGTAAAGATATAAACAACCCCCTTTGCCCACCCCCATCAGCAATTAACAGGGAAAGCAACTACAATTAAATGAAATTGTAATTGAAATGTTTAAACTCTGAGACTTTTGGAAGAACACAAAAAAGTGCAGTGGCAGTGGGCAGAGCAAAGTAAGATATAGGCTTCAGGCCAGAAGGGAGCCACGTCCAAGAACACCCAGAAAAGAGGGGGAGGAGGCTTCCGGATGGGATGAATAGGCCAAGGAGGCCCCTTTCCTGAACTCAGCACTCCCTGGGACATGACGCACCATTAACTTTCTTTTAATGTTTTGTACTTATTGGTACACATTTAATGGCTCAATTCACTTAGACAGAAAAGCAGAGGGGAAATGAGAAATTCCTTCCTTCCAAAGCCATACCTAGGAAATAGGAGATTAAAACAGAGCAAGCTTTTTGAAACTTAAGCCATTATATATAGATTTTTCTGTTTCTAGATATAGATTTTTATATCCTCTTTCTAAAAGGACTTTCTTTTCTTCCTGGAACTATTTATTTATTTAACAAGCACATACAGAGCACTTACCTTGGCCCAGACACTGGCCCCATGCTTTACAAATATTCACTCATTTCATCTTCATAAGAATCACACAAGGTATGTAAATATTAATATCCCCATTTTAGAGGAAATTGAGGCACACAGCAAGCATTTCTGTCAAATGATCAGAGGAGTTCAGGCCCTGAGTCCTCTGTCCTGGGTACTACTTGCAAGGCAACCTTTTGCAAAGAAAGTAATCGGAATGCAGACATGCATGAGGAACTTAGGATAACTGGCAAAAAGAGAGTCAAAAATAGGGGCTAGGCTGTATCCTTCAGCCGATGCAGTGGCTAAGAGGGCAGATGTCCGAGGATCCAGGAATCAAATCTGGATGGCCCGGTACTGAGGGAGAGACAATAGGAGCAGGGTTAAAAAAGTTGCCTGTGCTGCCAGCACAAAGTCAGAAACGTTGCAGAAGAATAGGCTGCTGACATGGGCAACTGAATCACAGATTTCTCAAGAAGGGTGGAGCCTGCAAGTTCGCTATGAAGATAGATTCTCAGCTGCTTAGCACAAGCTCCCTTGCAAGAAAGCCCATTGTCAAAACAACCAAGAGTCCGATAGATGTTAGAATGACTTGGTATTCACCATGGCCAAGACTGCTATACATTTTTTTCAAGGTGTAACACAAGAATCCGGGGTCCTGACCCACCCTGGGTCACAGGGTAAAAGCAAGGAGAACTAAGGGTACAGACATGGCCAGCCTGAGCTCAGGGGATACCTCAGTGATTCTAACTGGTCTAGTGAGTTCTAGTTTACAGGTCTGGTTCTCTCTGAGCCTCTGAGTAAACATCTAGCAGCACATATCACCATGAACCCTCAAACAACAGAATGAGGATACGAATTAGAACAGTAAAATGCGGTTATGCTTTGGGCTCAGACACACTTACTAACTGATTGCAAACCATATGTTAGGTTGGCCAAAAAGATGGTTCGGTTAAGAAATACACTGTTTGATAAAGTTCTTGGTGACAATGAAAAATGTGTCTTTCATTTTTGCTTATAACAGAACGGACTTTTTGGCCAACCCAATATAAACGAGCATTTTTGTTCAGGGGTGTGTTTTGCATTTGTCTTTAACGTCCACAAAGATGTACTCCTGCTGGGATCGAGCGTGGACTGGCTTCCTCAGTACCAGGCAATTCGCATCTTACCTTTGAGCTCCTTGTTCCCTTTGAACCACCTGATGGTCGTGGCTGGTTTGCTGGCCATGGCAGTGCAGTTGACTTCTATCTCCTCACCTTCCACCGCAGTGTCTTTCTGGATATCGATCATCAGATTACGTGGTGGGACTACAAATTAAACATGTGTGCTTTTAAAACACAGAATCTATTTCTGGGCATATCCTTCTATTCATTAGAAACTAGGACCGTTGCTCTCAAAAAAAAGGAGATAAACAATAGACATTCCTGAAGGGAATTTAAAACAAACTGCCACTGGAGGAAACAGAAGAAAGACAAAGTCATTATCAAATAAACTGAGTTACGTAAAATCCCTTACTTCAGAATTCGTCCTAAAGTTATCTGATAAAATGACCACTCTTCCACTCCTAAGTTATCAGTGACCAACTTATAAAAATATAGATACTAGATTTGCTATCAATCGGTCATTAGAAAATTGACCAGAAAGCAGATATAAAAGCAAGAGGAGTAAACACTATTGACATTATCCTCCTTACCTGGAAGTCTCTGAGAGGAATATTTGTCCTTAAACTCAACCCTTGGATTTCAATCTTCATATGAAAGATTCCAAAGTCAACCAGCAAAGATCAAAAACATGGAGTCCCATAAGAGAATCACTCCCCATAAACATACAGAGAAAAACTGTGCCTCAGAGCCGCTTCCATTCAGTTCAAATTATTTATAGAGATCTAGAATATGATCTTGACCTCTGATGGATGGCATAGTAATAAAATCCTTTAGCTATGAAGATGTAGTAATGTAGGAAATGCCAGTTAATTTGTAATGATTTTCTATATTCTGAAATCTAAAGCTGCAAATTTTAGAAACCAAAGGTGGAAAAGACTATTGAGTGTAGGTTAGATTTCTACCTCAGAATTAAAACCACTCTTATCTAAGCATATTAAACATATATGTAATAAAATGATTAGAATAAAATATTTGGGGGCTAAAATGCTGAATATCAGATAAAGAGTAATGATGGTGGTTGATAAAGAAAGCATGTTATCTTTTCAGAAACTGAGTTGACAATGAAACCATATAAGTGCAACCTTATGTCAAGACTGAGCTTCTTGAAATAAAAATCAATAAGAATACTGAATTCAGCAGACTGAATCTAAAAATATATGTCCTGACCACCATGAATAAGCAAAGATGGTTCTAAGACTTATGATTAATAAGTTTCTCAACTCAGAAGAGAAACAAGAAATTAAATATGTATAAACATGCCATCCTGATGATCAAGTTGAATAATAAATCTCTGATACTGCTTCAATAAATTATGGGATTAAACCATGTATTTGAGATTTCCAACTGTTCTAGTCCAATGTGAAAATTCTACCCACAGGAAGACTTTTACACTGAATTGAAGCAGTTGAAAATTTCTATAGAGAATTATGGAAAAGGAAAAGGAAAATGATTTGTTGTATATGTTTCTCAGCAAGACAGTTGGTAGGGGGAGTGTAACTATTGGAGCAAAATCACGTCTCTTCTTTGTTCCCTGTATAACAGGAAACTAACACAGTTGCTCAACTGGATGTGTTGCTAAAGTGATGTGGCCCCAATGAGTAGTTAAATATGGCAAAGAACTACCCTAGTTTACATTTTAAGAAGAAATAAGCATAAAGAGAGATAGTCTAACATCCAATTTGGAGTTGCACATCTGCCAACATTTTAAGAGACAGAAAGGCAGGTATAAAAGTAAATGGGATGATTTGGCTAGCTGTTTCCTCAACGCAGTTTATCCTTCCTAGATGACAATCAGGTAGGTTAAAGATTTTCATTACACGTACCTAGATAGCTGATATGGGGTACACAGAGAGACTAGATGTTTACGCCCAACAAATATTACTAAATTCTGTGTGCCGTATAATAGGAGTATTGAAAAAAATGCTTTTGTTAGAGCAAATGTCAGAGGAAAAGACTGTCCAAGCCTAAAGAAAATAAGATCTTGGTGAGCTATGGGGAACAGAAGAAGAGGCTTAGATAAAAAGGGAATAACTAAGGAGTAAAAGAGCTAGGAATGTCCTCCCAACAAATGTAGGGCTGAAAGTCAAACAGTATTAATTCTTTTCAAGGTCCAGGCAGAAATAAAAATGGAGTGATGAAAATAATTTCTGATATTGACATGTGCAAAGATTTTCAATGAGAAATGTAATTGAGTAATGTAATTGATGGGATACTACTCAATTTAAGGAAACTTAAATTGAGACGGGATACTCACAGAAGGGTTCTCTTCGGATGAGAAAAAGAGGGCAAATAGCTAAAGGTAATGTGTGATACACAAAGCTCTCTTCCTTGGAAAATACTACAGGATGGGATAGAGCAGATTTCAGTATGCATGGATAACTTTGGGAGAAACACTTTGGTGGTCATTCTGTGGTAACCTGGGAATCTTCCTGATGGGAATAGATCCAGGAGCTGTTAAAAGGTTCCAGCAAATATCAATTGTCAGGCCTTGATGGCATTAAGGTTCAAACATAGTCTTTGTCAGATATTAGTTTTCTGTGTGTTCCTGGGTATCTTTCCTTCATCCTCTCCTTTCTCGTGTTGAGTCTGAAGATACTGGAGAGCTCTCTCTCCTCCTCACAGGCTTCTTCTAACCTCCACTAGCAATTCACCTTCAGTGGTACTTCTTAGTAGAGGAAGTACTTAATTCTCTCCATCAGATGTAGAAGGTCATAAGGATGATGGCGTGTTCTTTTCACATTATCAATAATGTCTGCTATTTCAAAGTAAGGAAATGGTGGGGCTTCCCTGGTGGCACAGTGGTTGAGAGTCCGCCTGTTGATGAGGGGGACACGGGGTTGTGCCCCGGTCCGGGAGGATCCCACATGCCGCGGAGTGGCTGGGCCTGTGAGCCATGGCCAGTGAGCCTGCGCGTCCGAAGCCTGTGCTCCACAACGGGAGAGGCCACAACAGTGAGAGGCCCGCGTACCGCCAAAAAAAAAAAAAAAAAAAAAAGTAAGGAATGGCAAGTGGTACGTATAAATTAGTCCAGAGGAAAATTTACCAATGTCTCTTAGATTTTGTTTGGGGGTTGAGAGTGTGAATGGCAGCAAATAGGTCCTTATCTAGATCACCTGTTGCTTGGTTTTATCCATGTTAATGCCTCCTCTACTGCAGCAGATATAATCTACACTTCCCTAATCCTTCCCAGTGATTCCTGTACTAATGCTAGCTCCTCCTGGAGAGCTGACATCACCTGTAACTTGACAGCCAAGGTAGACATGTGGAAAACTTCAAAAGTGGTGGAAAATATGACCAGTGTAGAAAAATAAAGGACTTGTTTATTGTTGAGAAGAACATCCTGAGAAATGGCTGAATGACTTTTTCCAAGTCCATAAACAGTTTTCTCAAGACTGTGACCAGTATTACTTATCTTTACGAAGTTTAGAAGAAGAAAGAGTCAAATGTAGTAGGAGCTGTTTGGTTTACAAATATAAAATAAAATGTGAGTCATAATGGTTCACTGATATCAGTTATAAAGTTAACTTCTCTCAGATTTTTTTTTAAAGCAAGAAAGCTTTAGAAAATATAAATGAAGTGATTTAAGTCTTTCTGAAAAAAGGGGGGTAGGACAAGAAAATCTTAAAGTTTATTTTGGTCTATTCATTCTCCCGTTTTTCCCTTTAACTTCATAATGTCTACTCAAATACGAAAGCAGTTAGTAAGGTATCAAAATCCATTTATAAGAAAAAAATGAATTAGAACTGCTACTAACCAGAGAATACACTTATACATGGTCCACTAAACAGACATATTTAGTGAAAACTGCCTGCAGCCATTAATGAAAACAACCAAAGATATATCTAAGGAGGTGCATAGAGATGGAAACTTGAATAAAAGTCACGTAGAGGGAAATACTAGAAAATAGCAAAGAAATGTTGACGTTCTTCTTAGCTAACTTCACATCTATAAGAGTGCTAATTATAAACATTACGCCTACAACACTAAAAAAAATCAGCAATATCGAGTCACGTTAATTACAACAAAAGAGGAGACTTAAAGCTGATCAGTATGTGGAATCTCACTCTAAGACCCTTTAAAATAATTAGGTTCTCCTGCTCCTGGAATCTTGAGTGAACACTAAGCTTAGAAGGACAGGACTGTAATAAGATTAGCTACTATTATCAGTAACTATACTAATGTTAAAGCAGCATATTCTCTCTCTCACTCATCTCCTTTCATGAACAGTAGTAGGATCTGGAGAAAGAAACAAACTCATCACAAGTGGGAGAAGTGAATGAATACCCTAAAAGGCATCCAAATGCATGCAAAATATCACAGGGGAGTTTTCAGTTTTTACATGGATAAGATAATAAACAGAACAGTAACTAACAAATACCCATCTCTATGTCTTATAATTATGCTGAAATTTTTGCTGAATGCTTCAAACAACTAATAAAGATGCATGCGCTAAAATGAGCATCTTCATCTGATCAGGAAGTTTGACAGCTGTGTAAGTACATATGGGGTCCTTTTCAGAGAACCACAGATAGAAACGAAGATGATGCTAATAGATCATTCTTCATTCATTATGATACCTGAAAACTCTAAACCTTAGGAGGAAGCTTTGAATATACGAGTATCGGTGGAAACTGTCAGATTTTGGAATATGAAAGACTCAAGCGCCGATGACAATAATTTGACTCCGTCAAGGAATCCTAGAATAAATTCAGTGGAAGGAATATTAAATGAATGCATAATATCTGCGAAAAGAGCATCTACCAGCATTACTTTCAAGTATATTTAAGTTAATGTTTCTATACAATACAAGCAAGGAACCTATTATTTCTAGAATAATCAGACCTCCAAAAGGATTACAGGCATAATGCTTCTCAAAAGCCTAGTGCTGGGTGTATTCCATCCAACTGGCCCAGTCTAGCGGGTCTGAGAACAAATGTACCAAACACTGAAAACTGACAGGCAGTAACTGCTTGTCAAAGACCAGATACACTCCTGCAAACAAAAGATGTGCACCTTCAGGGAGAAAATCTTGAAACAGCAGCCTTCAGGATTTTGTTGAAAACAACCTAGACTAGAAGACCCAGAGGTTCTGAGGCAGAAGAGTAAGGTCTGTTTCGAAGTCTAAGATTCTTGATTCTCACCATGTGCTTTGTAAGCTGGGCAAGACGACTAACCTCTATTATTATCATCTCTTTCTTTGAAATAAAGACATTCATACTTAAAGGTATATGTGGCGAAACATTCTGAAAATGCAAAATGCCATTAAGTATATTCCATCTAATTGCCGTCACTTTTGCGGACACACCATAAACAGTGGTGGGTCAATGGGAAGATGGACTATTTGAAGTTTATGCAGCTGATAACTGACTCCAACAAGCAAACAGTGTTTCAAAGACCTCTCCGGAAAACTTTTGGTACATCTGCCAAATTCCAAAACGTTCATCCTAGCCAAACCTTCCACACTTACTATTTCTGCAGATCTAATAGGGATCAAAGGCACAATTAGAGATAAACACGTACACATCACCAAACACAGACCACAGCAGAAGCAACATGGCCGGACATGAAACCTGACTGTCTAAAATCAGTGTTCCTCTTATCAATAACATATATGTCAGCATTAGGGATATGTTTTTAGTTTAATGAATTAAAAAAAGTTCCCTATTACAGCTGTGTTTAAATAAAGTAATGAGGCAGCAGATCAATACATAACACCCATGAATACATATATGTTCACACACACTAAGCAAAAACATCCTTCATATTTATCTTTCCCCTTTAATCTTCATATCGTTACACTGAAAAGCTGCAGTCTGCCGCCTCAGATAGGCTTTGATTCATCGTCTTTCCGAAGGTGTAAATCAGAGATCTTGCCTCATGCTATAGTGTAGGTCCTTGAAAACTCAGTTTCAAAAATCCAAATGGGCTGGTGTTAGGCACTGTAGTATATGTTTGTCTAAAAGGTGACTAGTTCAGACCACCTTCACCACAGGAGTATCTGCTGACTCTATCAAAACATACACATGGAAACCTGGCTACCGGGATTCTGCTGAAAGTCGCAGTCTAGCCACCGTACGTGAAGATACTTCACCCGCTAGAGGTAGAGGTATACTCAGCAGCCATCCACAGTCCTTGCTTATTATCAGCCTTCTCTCCCTAGAAGCTCTTCATTCTTTTACATCTAATGGTTGCAATTTGTGGCAAAGTATGTGTTCATGGGGTATGATTTTTACAGCATAGTCTTGAGTGGGAGCAATAAATGAGGCAATAAGTCAAGCTGAAGAAAAGGAGATCAACAATATTAAACGAGATGTAACTCAGAAGGAAAAAATCATTAAGTGGATTTCATATCAGAGCTCTGCCACAGGGTGCAGATGTGGTAGCCTGTTTCCCCCTCGACTGCACAGAAGGGGGAAAAAAAAAGTCCTGGTAGGTAGAAGCAACGACGTTACATGTGGTGAGTGATTCATTTGAGGGCTCTAAATTCTCTTGATCTTTGCTTCTGAAGCTTGAAACCCAAGAGCAGGTGAAATCTAGAGAGCCTGCTGATTGCCATTCCTTAGAGTGTTTGGTAAAATAGGCTATTTTTAAAATTCAGCAAGATGGGCGCTGAGTCTTCCTAAAACAGTAAAATTTACCGTTAACCTTTTCCTAGCTGCTGGAAGCCATCTGGCAGTAAGTACCACCCCCTCGTTTCCCAGGACAAGCCCTGGTGCATTGCTTACCCAGGACTGTGATCGTGGTATAACTTTCCTGAGGGGGGTCAGTGTAGAGCTGGCAAAAATATCTTCCTTCATCAGAAATTGAGACATTTGTCAATGACACTTTGAGTTCACTGCTTGAAAAATTCAGCAGCTGGAACCTGCTGTCCTTCAAAGCTGGAAAACAAAACACAGTTAGTGTTGTGAGAAAGACGACAGTCTATTTGCCTTCCCGAGGGGAGGCGAAAGGCAGGTGACTAGAAAGGCAGCTACAGAGCAGACACACGGATTAAGTCTTTCTGCACCTGGTGGGTACTTCTTTGTGCTTCTTGAGTTCCTAGTTAGGGCTTCTGCAATAACTGCTTGTAGACTCCGTGCCCCAAAAGGAAACTCACACACATGGGTGTGTGTATCTGTGTACACATGCATATCCCTTGCTGTCAGTTTTGAGCACTTATTCATAAATTGTTTCGGATCTTCTATTGGAGACAGGCAGAATGAGAACAGGAGGAAAGGGCAGGCAATGAGCCCCCTTTGGCACTGAAATTTCAGGGAGTAGAACCTACAGGCTTTTAAATTGTCTCTAAAAATCTGAGGCCTTAAAAGAAATAGAGGTTCTAATATTATGAGAGAAAATTTTAAAAAAGCATTATTAGTAATTGCAAAAGCAAAATGAAAATCATTGAAAAAAAACTTTATAGCAAAACAATCCAATTTAACTCATGCATCTTTGTGTTTCATGTGGTTTGAGGTGGCACTGCCAAAAGTCCATGGCCTGGGGCCTACAGGGGCCTTAAGACCTGACCCCATTTTCTAACTGCATTCAGCTCCACGGGGATGAAACTGATTAGACATAAAGTAGGAAGTCAGAGTCATCCCAGAAGTAATGTATGCGGGCTTTTTATTGATGTCTAATATTCACTTTTAAGATCCTTATATTAATTTGGCAAAGGCTAGATCAGTATATACTAATGACAAAAATTCATTCTAACAATGAGAAGCTGGCTTCTCTCCTTTTACCCTCCATAGACCTCTTCATGTTCCTTATGTTCATAACTCTTTCCACAGGTCATGAATGTTCTGAGGTGTTGGGGAGAATGGGGACAAGTGGGCAGGAGGCGACATGCCTGACACCTACTTTGGTTAGGCACCAATGCTCTCAAATCGCAATTTTTCGAAAGACCTGATTCTTGCTCTTGCCAAATCCTGACACCCATTTGAACCATTGCTATGATATACAATTAAGTTTCGATTACTGGCTTTTGTGATCTTATATTTGGAAGGATTTCAGCACATGGGCACCTCCATCTACCACAGGCTATGATGACAGGAGATTTGTTTTTGTCTTTGTAGGCACAGATTGCCTAGGAAACTTCAGTCTTCAAACCAAACAGATTACCTTTGAGAATGCTATATTTTCCTTGCTTTACCCTATTTGAGTTGTTTGTGTCAGCTAAGTATTTGGGACTCAACGTCAATTCACCTTGAATTACTACAATCAATTCCTATTGCAAAGGAAGACTGCCTTACTTTTAAAAAAGGACCATTCAAGGTTTCTATTAAGTAGGAAGATTATGATTGCATGTCTCTTCTTTCCTCTGAAGAACTGATTAAACTTTAAGCATCTAACATTATATTTTTTAAAAAAAAGAAAACAAAGGAGGCCTTGGCAATCTCTATCAAGACAACGTGTAGGAAAAAAAGTTGCCATCTAATGCTATAGAGATGGAAACTTACGCCGGAAGTCCCTGAAATAGATGGTCTGCCTGTTGGGATTCAGTAGTTGGATAACAGAGTCGTCACTCTTATTGACCTGGCAGCTGATGGTTGCAACTTCTCCCTCGATCACTGTCACATCTTTCGTAAACAAATTCTGTCCATCACCTTTAGGAAAAGGAGAAAAAAATTCCATCAATTAAAATTTGGTTAATAGGATCAATTAAAATGAGAAACAAGAAGTGAATTAGAAAATAGACACGATGGGAATTCCCTGAAGGTCCAGTGGTTAGGACTCCGAGCTTTCACTGCCAAGGGAGCGGGTTCACGCCCTGGTCAGGGAACTAACATCCCACAAGCTGCGCGGCCAAAAAAGAAAATAGACAGGAGCAGCCACATTTGGTAAGGCTCATACACCTTTCTCCAATAGTCCACAAAACGAGGCTATTAAGCTGAGCTAGATCTAGGGGCAAAATACAACTAAGCCTGGAATCAACGTTCTGTCAGAAGTTGTGATGTCCACGCTCCAGCCTCCAGTGTTTTTACTAGCCAAGTAGTATGCTGGAGAGGTATGGAAAGGTAAGAGTATTGGCCGTCATGAGGAACAGCAGCTCCCACAAACGGAGTAGGGGAAATACGTATACATCAGCCTTCCTTATCTGCGGGTTCGGCATCCGCAGATTCAACCAACCACAGATCGAAAATACTAAAAAAAAAAAAAATTCCAGAATGTTCCCCAAAGCAAAACTTGAATTTGCACGACAGCAACTATTTACATAGTGCTTACACTGTTTTTACCACTATTTACATAACATTTACATTGTATTGGGTATAATAATAAGTAATCTAGAGATGACTTAAAGTATACATTTTTTTTTTTTTTTTTTTTGGGTACTCGGGCCTCTCACTGTCGTGGCCTCTCCCGTTGAGGAACACAGGCTCCGGACGCGCAGGCTCAGCGGCTGTGGCTCACGGGCCCAGCCGCTCCACGGCATGTGGGATCTTCCCGGACCGGGACATGAACCCGTGCCCCCTGCATCGGCAGGCGGACTCTCAACCACTGTGCCACCAGGGAAGCCCTAAAGTATACCTTTTATAGAAAGGACTTGAGGATCCTGAGGTTTTTGGTGTCCGTGGGGGTCCTGGAACCAATCCCCCATGGATACCAAGGAATGACTGTACTGATCAGCTCAAATGCCCTTGAGCTATTTGGTCACCTCACAGAAAACTCAAGGGGTCACTTAATAGAAGTAGGTGGGAGGGCTCAGTAAACAATCTCACCTTGTTAGTGGATGTCAAGATTCCCAAAGTATAGGCAGTTCCGTTATTTATTGCGTAGGGGTGGGGACCTGACTATGACCCTTTGGAAACTCAGTAAAATTCTGGGAAGCCTTACAGTTCACTTTATTACTCTGTTCTCAGAAACTACATCTTCATGACTCACCCAAAGCTCCAGGCAGTCCTGAACCACGCCCCTTCTACAGACTACCCCCTTCCAGCCATTTAGAAAATCTCTTACAGAACATGTCAAAAAGTCTAGGCTTTCAGATCCACTGATATCTGGATTATCTCCAGATCTGCTCTACTTTGTTGCTTCTAGGATAAGTGACAGTAGCCAGGGCCCCTCATAAATGTCCTAAACGATCCACAGCACAGGTAGGAGGAGAGGAGACTTCAAAAGCAAAAGATGAAATAATTGTTGAATGTCCAATTCCGCACCAGGCATAGCAGGGGATTTAGCAGTATAAGACATTGTCCTAGCCTCTAAGAAGCTGCAATGTTGGTGAAAACTGATCCCTAATTCCCACTTACAGAACAAAAAGTATAATATAGGCAATAGGTACAATGGTCAATCAGGGAGGGGACAAGAGAGATTGCTTTTTAGCCGTAAGATTTTACGCAAACTATTTAAAGTCCCTGAGACAATGTCTCATCTGTAAAGTGGGGACAGTAATTAAAAGCTATCTCACAGAGCTGTTGGGAGGATTAAGAAAGATAATCAGGGGCTTCCCTGGTGGCACAGTGGTTAAGAATCCATCTGCCAATGAAGGGGACACGAGTTCGAACCCTGATCCGGAAAGATCGCACATGCTGCGGAGCAACTAAGCCCGTGCGCCACAACTACTGAGCCTGCGCTCTAGAGCCCGTGCTCCGCAACGAAGAGCAGCCCCCGCTCACCACAACTAGAGAAAGCTCGCGCGCAGCAACGAAGACCCAATGCAGCCAAAAATAAATACATAAATAAACACATTTAAAGAAAAAAAAGAAAGATAATCAGTGTAAAGCATTTAGCACTGTGGCTACCTTTCGTAATACTGAATAAATGGTAGCTGCTATCATCATCACCACCATCACTTCTCCAGATGTCAAATCCCAACTAAGCAACTGTACGTGTTGCCAGTAGTGTGGATACAAGAATGAAAGCTCACGGTCCCTGCTCTCAAGGAGCTCTCTATGTAATTATATATCAACTCAGGGTGGCTTATTCACTCTCTAAAAAAAACCTGTCACATTAAGAAACAAAGGTCAAAGATAAGTACTATTCTAAAAAAAAAAATGAGACCGCATAAATAGAGACGCAATTTGAGTAAATGGAGGATTTCCACCTGCTCTCGTATTTCTGCTGAAGCATCCTTTTTTGGCAGGACACAGTTGGGAAGTGTGAGAAGGGACGTCTAAGATGGCTTTAAGCCAAATCCACCTAGAAATAGACTAGCCTACGGGAGAGGATTAGAAAAGAGGCAACTAGAGGGATAAGGAAAAAATTATTAGAGGCACAGATAAACAAAAATTCTTGATGCTTGAGGAGCAGAGCAAAAGGAAACCCAACCTTGAGACCTCTGATCCAGGGAAGTAACCTGGGTGTGAGAACGAGGCCCACAGGGCTTGTAGCAAGTGAAAAGGTAAATCTTCCCTAGCTTGATCCAGCAGTGAAAGCTTAGTGGGCTGAAGAGTGTTAGAGAATAATATCAAAGAGGAAGAGTGATCAGAGGAGACGAAGTCATGCTTATTTTTTCCTCAGTGGGTCACCGTGACAAACACAGAATTCAGAACCAAGCTGGGGGGAGCAGTTTATTCCCAGATCTGAGACTAAAACAGGGAAAGGGAATTCCTGCCAATTGAGCAAGCTTTTCAAGGTGGTTTTGCTGGCCCTGGCGGGGAGGTCTGTACAGAAAGGACAATACTCCATTTCCTCAGGGTAACCCAATCTAGTAAGGAAACATTAAACTGCATGATTCAAATGCTATTCTGTCTTGAAACATGGGACTTGCCTTGAGGAGGTTAGACTATCAAACCAGTCTACCGGATTGTGGAGGAGATTTCTTCTACCTAAAGGAAGTTTATTAGCAACACAAATGAGAATCTTCAGCTTATAAAAGAAACACTTGGAAAGGCTACCCAGTGAAAGGCCTTAATCCCTTTGGCCTTATAGATCCTGACCACCATCTTGCACATGCTGGGACTTAAAGCCAAGTGCAATTCAATTAAGCTCTAATAGAATAGTTTCTGTGGAAATAACCATCCACTCTAATTTTAGTCTTTACTCAGAACCCTAGTATATTCTGTCTATATTCATATTAAGGCTATAAAACATTTGCAAAGGAGACAGGAGCAGAGGAGTTGACTGTGGTTTTGTATTTAGAGCAAGGAAAGTAATAAAACAGAACCAGAGGGATTTTTTGTTTGTACGTTTCTTAAAAAGTCTAAACATTCTTATTTATTACTTATAATTAAATAAGACCAGATCCCTTTAATGTGTCATTACTGAGTAAATCATTCAGGTGAAACTTTTGCCATCTGCAAATGTTCGCCCTTGCTGTGCTCTGGCACATAACAGGCTCTACAAATCCATGATGGTATCATCATCACTACTATATTATTTTTTGAAATTGCTAAGGCCAACCTAAAATCCACTGTCTCAGAAAATGACAATTTGTAGCTATGTTAACATGATTACAATACAAATGCTAAAAAATTATAAGCGTTGCGAGATATCAAAGTGCCTTGACTGATGGTGGTGGCCCAAGGATGTCACTCTGTAAAAGTCACCAGTAAATTATACGGGTCAGCTGGACAGTAGTTATATTACACAGAGCTCCATGCTTGGAGCGTCATAAGATGGCTGCAATGGAATAATAATAATGACCTATTTAGTTGAGGCAAAGGAAGCGAATGACAGCGATGAAAATATGATATGTATGTCAGTACTCCTAACCGCCTGAAGCCTTTATGTAAAAATAATTTCTGCTCACGTCTGCAACTATTTCTTCCAAACAGAAGGGTGCACTGTGACTTGATAAATTTCCCCTTGAAACAGATATCATGACAATTAGGTTGTTACAAAACACAATTTGATGTGTAGCAGAAGGCTACAAACAGGTAACTTTGGTGCCTTTCTTAAATAATCCATTTAAAAAACTCTTCCGATTTTCTAAAATTCAATTAGCAGATATACCGTCAGGGCAGAAACAGCACACGTTCTGGGCAAAAGAAATCAAGTAGGTACAATATACTGTAGCCATTAAATAAGGCTGTTATCAGCAAGGTAATTTATTTTAAGGGTGGAACAACGTCTGACACGTATAGACATTTTTGACTGCTAGTTGGTATATGTGGGTGAGGTTTAAGAGACGGAATCAAACTGGCTTTTAATTTATACCAGCAACTGTATTCCCTATAACTTCCCTATCTGACCCACAAATTCTAAAAATAAAACTCTGGCATTAGAGAGGCCCATTCTCTCGCAAGCAGGTCTCCCAAAGTACGCTAGAAGTTGCCAGGACATTCATTACAAGGAAGAAAAAGCATATTACCTAAAGCAAAAAAAAAAAAAAAAAAAAAAAAGATAAAATTTATTTTGATGATCAGTAAAGACCATTTCAGCTGAGCTGGTTAGGGCTGGAGTGGGCTTGGGAATGCAGTGGACTCAGAAATCCCCCATTAATTCAATCATCACAAGTTGACTTAACTCATGGATTCTTTCCTGAAACCTCATTTTGTTATAAACACTATGTAAATGCATTACACAGAACACTAAGCCTGGGTTGGAATCTATTTGACCAACAAGAGAACTGCCTGAAGGGGGTGATGGGGCAAATCTTCGAGCAAGAAGCTGAAATGAGAAATAGCATTCTCAGGCACCGGGACTGGGAGAAGGGAACGTATGT